AAGCACACTCACATTCATTCAGAAAATAATTAATATCAGCGTGTTTTTATTTTGTGTCCTCAGCTGTTCAGTGACCTTGCTGCGTTTTTTGTCTCAGCCAGCCTTGTATTTTTTTATTTCGCTGACATCTTTGGTGTTTCTCTGTTGCTGATTGCTCTTTTTGTTGTCGTGTTGCATCTACTCGAGTTTCCTTGACAATCAAAAGAACTTGGGCGGTGCTGCACCCTTCACACACTTCAGTCGTCTGTTGATTAAGATGGAATTTCTGCAGGTGGCCTTTGTTTGTTTGCTCGAGGAGAATTCATAACGCCGCTGCTGGAAGAATTAATTTCCTGAGCACTCACAGCCGCGAGTGAAGATGTAGCAGAGTGTTCTTGAGTCAATGAAGGGTGAATGTGTTTTTTTTTTTTTCCCCCCGTTTGCGGCTCTGGAAGTTTCTGGCAGAGCAGACTTTGTAGAACTCGTTGTTGATTCTGTTGCGGCCGGCTTTACGCAGCCTCTTGAATAAATCACACCACCAGTTGCTCCGAGCAAACAAACGCCCGTCGCTGTGTGTTAACGGAGGAACCGCGCAGCCTTTTAACATCTCACGCTGCACCTGCGATCCAAAGCTTTGGCCCAGAAGCCGGAGCTTTTCTCCTCTGGTCTGGATGGCGGCTGTGAATCGGAGCCGCTGGGTGTTTCTCTCTTTCTTGACAACGAATCGGCGGTTGGGAGCTTCTGGCCGTGTCCTCGGCGCTGTGAACACACAGAAAGAGGCCACACTCTGCAGGCGTTTCAATGCCGCATGCCAATCACAGCAGCGTGGCCACCCGAGTTTCTGGGATACACAGAGCGGTCGCTACGGAAACCTTGTCCGCCTCCAATTCAGCCTCTGAAGGATGTGCGATGTTGCCGTCCCCGTTGTCGTATCTGCCAAAAAAAAAAAGGTGTTGCTATGGCCGCGAGGTCTGAAGCACTGCGTGATGGAGGAGCTGGTGGGCTGCTGGGTAATCCTCTGCTCGCTGATATAGAAGCTCCTGGTGTGACATAGTGTTATCCAAACATAATCCCCCATAGGTACCATCCTCACATGTATTCACACCCTCCCATTAAAGAAGGAAAAACAAACAGCTGCCACTGGAATAAGATGAAATTGGCAAAAGTAATAATAAATAAAAAATTAATGAACATCATGCTTTTGATTTGTGGTTCAACAGAAATATATTTAAAAATAACAACAACAAAAGGTTTTTTGAATCTGGCCCACTGCTCATCAGCAAAGGGCTCTAATTAGTCTGCAACAGTTTTGTTTGTTTTTTTAAATTATTCTTTTCAACCACAATTCAAAAGCAACACCTTATTTCACTAAATTATAATTTAGCAAATTTTTATTTATTATTACTTTTTCCAGTTTCTAGTTATTTGAGTGACTAATGTGATTTTTGCCTTTTCTTTAATGAAGGAAGATGAATAAATCGACTGTATGAGAGAACATCCCTGTAAACGATATGTCAAATGACGATGTAAAAACAGTGAAGGAACTGATTTATTTATGTTTTCTGTGCTTGTTTTTGGTGTTTGCTATGCAGAGAGCACTTTGTGTCGCTGGATTTAGGTGGAACTACACACAGAAACCATTATTATTGCTAATATTTACGGGACTTTATAGCAGGTGGAATCGTTTTATGCTGCAGCAGGCGGCGGTTTTCAGCAACAAAATCTAAAAAACACACTTTCCAGTTACTGCTTCGCACCAAACAACAGTCATTTAGCAGTTGCTCTTTACCATAATGGTGCATTTAGCAGTGAAAGAGACGGATGAGTTCCTGTGGAGATAAAAACCGAAGCGCTAACAGAGAGTGAGTATTAGATAGAGTTTATCAGATCACCCAGACGTGGCTGTGACAGAACGATGATATTGCTCTGTAGCTGCTGGAGGTGTAAATAAGAAAGTGTGAACTAGCAAATGTGCCTTTTTAATTTAAAAGGTGACAATGTGAGTTCACAGCTTGCTTACGCTGACAAAAAAAAAAGAAGTTTGTCGACTCAAGCTTAACTCCAAAACAGACTAAAGTAGTGATATGATGTTATGATCTCCACTACTGACGTGTCTTTAGACGCCCAATCTGATTAGTTTATAGAAATGACATTGAACAATTGATGTTTGTGAGTAACTAGTAAGAATTAAGACCCTCTGCTGTGTTTGAATGTTTTTGTTTATCAAAACCAGAAACCGTAGTTCTGAAGGTCCTTGAACTCATCATGTGTGAGGCGCAGTTCCATCAGAAAAAAAGAATCGTGTTATTTTATCGCCAAAAACAAACCAATTGTTTTAACCAGAGTCCATAGAAACCATAAATAAATCACATTCAGAGCTCCTCGGCACAACTTTGAAGCCATTCGTGACTCAAACTGAGGGACGTTTTGACTGAACTGCAGGCTGTGTTCAAGCAGGACACGGAGAAGGACGCATGAAACTAATATAGAGTTAAAGTAGTAAAGATTCTAGTATGTAAAGTCTTTTTTTCCAGTATTGGTAACACCTGTGTGCAGGTAGAAAAACGCTGTGCATGAAATAAATAATCAACGAAATCCTTTTTTTTGTTTATTTGTGTGTGATTTACATCATTTTACCTGCACAGGAGACATGTCTGAGGTCCCTCTGCTTTAGCTGTGCTGGAGGTGCAGGAGTTTGTATTGCAGTGAAAAATGAGCCCACAGTGAGTAAAACTGCGCCACGGGCAAAAAAACCTGACCTGTGAGGTAATTAAAGAGCGATTCACGGTGTCACTTATGTTTTGTGTATCATGGAGTGAAGACATGTTTGTACTCCTAAAAAACCCGAGAGATGCGTCGGAGTTTTCTGCAAACTGGCACAGATTGTGTTCTTCCCCACGGACAGACACACACAGAATAGGAGAACCGGGTTCTGCCTGCAGGCCCGTTCTGTTCTGTGATCCGGCTCTCTCTCTCCTCTCCGCCTCCTCCGTCTCCTTGTTTGTGTTATCATCAGCGCCTGATGTAAACCAGCCAAAGAGGGGCCACCAGCCCGCTTCAGAGAACTGGCCTGCAGCTGGCTGCTGCCGCACTCGGCTGCAGTTTTGCGTCAGAGACACACGCTGATGGAAACATTACCTATTTCCTCTGGGTCAGCGCTGCAAACGAACACGCTGACACACATTCACACCACCACTGGTTCAACTGGGTCAGTAGTGACAGAAGGTTACCCTCAGCCGCTAACCTAAATATCACAAAGAGAGTTTTTCCTTTTTTGCGCTTTTATTCGTAGCATTTGTTTAAATGTTTTTCATTCCGGCGGTGCGTCAGCGTGCGTTTTGGCTCGATGCGATGATGCCAGATGCTGGTTTTGCTTCAAGCCAGTATAAGATTACAGTCATCCTCCAATGTGTTCATCCCGTCCATTAAAGAAAAGACAAAATCCACAATAATCACTCAAATAACTAGAAACTGGAAAAAGTAATAATAAATAAAAATTTGCTAAATTATGATTTAGTGAAATAAGGCGTTGCTTTTGAATTGTGGGTGAAAAGAATAATTTAAAAAAACAAACAAAACTATCATGGACTAATTAGAGCACTTTGCTGATGAGCAGTGGACCAAAAAGATATTATTTACAGCTCCCATCATGCCTGTTTGCTTGTTTTTTTGTTTTTTTTTAATATATATATCTTTCTGTTGAACCACAATTCAAAAGCATGATTTTCATTAAATTTTTATTTATTATTACTTTTGTTAATTTCAACTTACTTCAGTGACTGAAGCTGTTGTTGTTTTCTGTCTTTAATGGGAGGCTGTGAACACGTGAGGAGACAAGACGTCTACTTCAAACAGTTTTATTTTGATGGATATCCTTGCACCGCTGCTACATTTAATATTGAATAAAAAGGGTTAAAAAAAGACGAACAAGGTTTGAAAGATTCTTGACCTTGAAAACTTATTTTAACTCGACACAACAGGATGAACTGCTGAGTGGGGTGGACAGGAATAAAACGCAACACTCAGCTAACCTTGTTAAAACTGAATAGTGAACATCTACAGTATTGTATTGGGTAAATAAATCTATGATTACGCTGTTGTGAGGATTTTGTGAAGAGATTGAAAGTTGCTGCATTTATCTTGAGGTCAGACTTTTTTTTTTAAGAAGTTAAAAAGGGATGTATTCAGAGACTTTCAGCACATCTTCATGGACGTGTTGATGAAATTTCCAAGAAGAAAACACATTGTTAGTTCAGTGCTTCTAGCTGCTGATTCACTGAAGTCTTTCGAGGCTCCGATCTGGAGTGAGCACACTTTAAATGCTTATTGGTGGGCAGCAGACGTACCGGAGTTAAAACTTTGCATCCTTGTCACAGCTTCGGAAGACGTGAGAAACTTCCTGTATAATGAAGGTGTGTTGTTCCCGCCGGTCAGGTCGTCATGCAGCTGGTGCGTCTGCTCCCCGACGGCCACAGGATGAAGAGGGAGGTGGACATGGCCCTGGACTCGGTCAGCGAGACCATGACCCCCATGCACTACCACCTGAGAGAGATCATCATCTCCACGTACAGACAGGTACGTTCCTGCATTATTCAGTCTCTGAGGTGCAGCAGGTCCACCTTCACCTGACGTACATCCCAAACAAGACGCTGTTTACACTCTGAGAACGCCGGATGCAGTAAAGGACGGATAGAAGCTAGATGTAGGTTTAGTTTAACATCAGATCTGGGATTACAGTTAGTCCCGGGTGCATTCAATGTGCTGATTAAACCGAACACAGCCGGCATGAGTATTCTAAACTGTGTTGAATATATATTGCAAATCAATGACAAACAGATGAGTTTTGGTCTTTTCCTCAGGAGGATCTGTCAAATCAGACAAACTGCTGCTTACTTATGAATCAAACTTCCTCATGCAGAAACACAAGCAGGTGCAGTTTCACACAGAGCCCCATAGGTGGCGTCAAGAGCTAGTTTTTACACTCTCGGAGACAAGAATGAGAGGCATCCGCTGCTCTGAAGGCATGAGGTGCCGAGCGAGGAAAATGATTGTGTTGCAGCAAAACTTATCTCCTGAACTCAGTGGAGCTCCTCTGAGCCTCAAAGGGGGACAAGGCCAGAACAGAAGTGGGTTCTTATTGGATTCTGAGGCTTTATCTGTTGAAGTCTTGTTGTTATTTTCTGTTTTATGGTCCAAGTAGTGTTTGCTCCATGCTCTGAATGAATCTTTCCCATAAGGGTCAGAAGAAACCTGACAAGTCGGTGTTTAAAAGCAGAAAATGGTTTCAAAGTTCCACCTCCAGGGTTTCCCGGCAGTTTGGCTGTTTAATGAACAAGGCACAGAGAGAACAAAAGTAGTTTGTAGTGGGGTTACAAGGTCTCTCCTGACGCCGTGGCCTCTGCAGTACCACAGCTCTGTTTTAGCCATTTGTAATGCAGACTAATCGTGGTGCCTCTGTGCACCGTCAGCCGTTCTCAGCATGCTGGAGGCACCCGGTCCTGTCTCCGCCGTATCAATGGGCCTCATTGTCCGACCAACTCTGTCTTTTTTTACGCATATTCTCTCTCCGCCTGTCACTCTCTGTTGTCAGGCTCCAAGAAAAAAGGGCCTCCTGTCAACTCGCTTTCAAATCAGGAGGGGAATTTCTGTTCTAATTGCATTTTTAAATCCAAGAAAGATATATTCATTAGAAGAGTTGTTCAGGAAAAACCAACTGTTTGAGGTTGTACTTTTTTTTTTTTTCATAGCTGCGGTCATCAAGTTAAAGGTGGAATTTTTCACCACGAGTTGGATCAATGTTTTTTCCCCCTTTCAGTTGTATATTTCATGCCCATGAGGACGACATCATACCAGTGCCTCCAGCTTCACGCTGTTCTTTTGATGGTCTGTTGGCGTGCATCAGAAAAGGCAGCGATGAAGAAGAGGAGGAGGAGGAGGAGGAGGACTGCAGAGCTCGCAAGCGTGAATGTAAACAATGCAGGATTTCAAATGACAAAGAGTCTGCGTGTTTCCTTTGACCTCAAAGACGTTTTGGTGAGAAAAGCTGAAAGTAAAGGGAACTGTTGATGGTTCATAACTCTGCCTTTAACTGCTGCTCCTCCAACAGGCATCAAAAGATGTTCTTCTGGGCAAGAAACACGAGCGGTCGGACAAAGTTAAATGTCAGCCAAACTTATTCGGAAGAGAAAACAAACATGACTACCCGAGCTTTCTGTCGCAAACATCCATCAAAGACCGTCTTTCTGCTTCGGTTCTGACCTTTTAAAACGTCCTGGCTAATGCACCAGACCCGCTGGTTTCCTTCATGTCAGCAGCGTTTCCAGATCTCTGCGATCACTTGGTTGGCACACGGTGTTATCATCACCAATAGGAACGATGGCCAAAAAACCCAAATGAGTCAGAACTATCAACTATACCTGCTGTAGCGGACCTCAGGCTGGCACTGTGTTCCCGTCCCAGCTTTCCCCCTCCTGCCCCAGCCAGCAGGCCAGGTGATAAACAGTGCCAGATGTTCCAAAAAAAAAAAAAAAAAAAGAAAAGGCAGCCTTAGAGAGGGGGGAGAAAAAGGGGAAAAATTTCACCCCCTACTCTCTGTCTCTCTCCTGGAAGCCCTCCTCCCCGTTGGACGGTGGTTGGAAAATGTGTCTTTGATAGAGAAAAAAATCTATTTACACTGGGACACAAAACCAGCTCCCAGAGGGGCCTGGGGAGGCGGAGGAGGTGGGTGAGGGTTCTGGGGGAGCAGGGCAGAGAGGGGGTGGTTCTTCTCAGAAGGCCCTGCTGCTGCTGACCAGGCGTGACCCCACAGATCCATCCTCAGGTCAGCAGAGAGGCTGCTTCGTCTCCCCCATCACGCTCCTCCTCCGATACACCAATCAGCTCCTTTCTTTCCATCACCAAGCGTGGTTTGAGGTAGAAAACCCCCTCAGGCGTGCCGCCGTTTGATACCGCTCTTCTTCTTTGTGGTGTTTTGTGTTTAATTGTGACATGCAGGCAGACTGAATAAGACAATTTGCAGAACATCAGAACACATTACTGAGCTGATGCTCCAGTAATCTCTTAATTTCATCTCTTCACCCGCCGACTCTGTGTTTGTTTGGCTGTTTGCGGCCTCCCTGTGTCGTCCTGCTTTATCGTCAGCCTGCATCAGCGCCGCTTCTTATCTTGATGCCACATTTCAACAAACAATTACAGCCCATCAGTTAGCCTCCAGCATGCCTAGTTTCTACCCTTCAGACCACCGCGGCCGCCGCCGCCACCGCCTGCCTCGTGTGATTCGTCATGTCCGAGCTGCTCGCGGAGCGGCTTCACCCAGAATCAGGGAAGATCGCTGGCTTCCCCTCGTTTCAATCAAGAGAGTATTAAAAGCAAATCTCAGAAACCCAACTCCTAATCCTGTTTGTTGGGCGAGAGTTTCAGCAAATTTAATTCCTCCGCTCCCCCTCCCCGTATCACCTTTTGTCGAAAATGTAATGCTTTTCCACCCAGGTGGTGAGAAACGCTCAGAGCGAGAGTGAATGAGCAGCAAATCATGCTCCATGTGTGTGTGTGTGTGTCCAAAGAAAGGCCCTCATGGTTTGGACGGGGCAGTGGAAAAATATTTTCAGAGAGAGGAGAATGCTCCGAGCAGGTTTTCTTGAGCAAAGGTAGTGGATGACTTTAGGAAAGCAGAGGAAAGGGGGGAGCAGCCCGAGTTCACGGGGGTTGAAGGGACCACCGCCGCACTGACGGCAGGATTAATTTAACTCTGAGAGAAAGAACAAGGGATTAGAAAGAAAGAAAGAAACGGGGAGGAAAAAGAAGCGAGGTGGGAAAGTAAGAGGCTGTAAGGTCAAGAAACCTCACTCACTTTGTAACTGATAATTTGCACCTTTGCACTTCGGCGTCGCCGGCACCTCGAGGGGGGTTTTATGCGCGAACCGTTTTCTCCTCAGTTTGGATGACCACTTGACATAAGTGGGGCCAATTACGAGGTGGAGTTGGTAACGTCTGGGGGGAATATTGGCCGGAAAATGAGCCCACCTGAGCCGGAGGCAGGTTCTTCTTCTTCCTCTGAAGTGCGCGTTTGCTCTCCGCTTCTGAAAAGAGGCTCTCATTTAGATCCAGAGCGGGAGGAGAGTGGGCGAGCCAGAGGTTGTTGTTTTTATTCATAATTTCCAGCCTTCCCGTGTACAAATGCCAAAGTGGCTGTCTACAAAATGACTTGTTTTTCTTGTGAGCAGGTGTAACCGGCCGTGCTGGCGTTCGGTCCGGCGAGCGGGGATTTGTAGTATAGATTTATGTGTCCGGGTAACAGCACGCGTGGGGGTAAATAAAGCTTCTCCGGGGACTTTCCGGAGGTGTTTGGTGAAATTGAGGATCCCTTGCAGCTCCTGTTTTTCAGCCGCTCTTCCGATTTATTGGAGGGAGTTGTGCAGCTGTCAATGACGCTGTATGTCTGTTAGAGCGTCGCATTCCCCTCGTATGTTTCTGCCACCAGTGAGTCATGTGCTTCGTTTACAGAGACCAGCTCTTGCAGTTTCAGGTCTTCTTCAGGTTGTCGACTTCACAACTGGGCTGTAGAGTGCTTCGTGAGTTTTTCAGACAACACTGAGGTCTCACAGACGTCATATAATCTGTGTTAGTGATGCAGAGCTGCAGCTAAAACACATCTCTCTCAGTGAACTGTGTTTCAGTCACTGTTTCATACTTACAACAAGAATAGCTTTTCACTGTATGGGACCATTAAATAATCTGTTTGCAGGTTTTGTACTCATTTAAAGTAGAACAAACGGTTTGCAGAATGTCTCTTTACAGCCACGTTCAAAGTTGAACATATGCAGGTTTCAGCCATGTGCTGCGCTGGGTGATTTAGTTATTTAGCACATCTTTAGCAAACCAGGGAGCAGGACCTGTTGGTGGAAGCACCTGCTTTGCTGTGATGAGTAACTGGAACAAAAACACTCCTCACAGCCAATGATTGTAGACTTTCCAATTATAACCGTTTCCAGACTCATCATTCTGACTTTTACCACGAACACGTTCAAAGTTTAGCTGCCCTGTATCGCTCCACTTCATTGTTTGGTTGCACAGAGCCAACAGGTTCTCAGAGAGCTCATTAGAAGTGATTTCAAATTAGGTTTAACAGCAGAAGACTCCATCATAAGAATCTGAACTGCTCACTTCCAGTTTCTGACTTTTCATTTTAATCACTTGGGTAAATCTTAAAACTTCATGTAAAGTGTGAGAGTATTATTGGTGTCGCTAACGTGAGCTCATTGACCCAACGCACAGTTTATTGTCCTCTAAGTCTCACTGATATCAATTAGAAACACAGTCTGATGTAGTACAATTCAACAGCACTGCAAAATGTCTATAGCAACTTTAATTAAGGTCCATTCATTACACTGCTCTAATATTAGACTTTATTCCTTTTTAAACTACCCATTGCACTGGAAACGTAACTGGAGTTAATGCTCAGTGAAATGTGCATGAAGATATCCACAAATATGAAGTGTTCATGTGCAGATGAGACAACCTGCCTTCATGTGCTCTGCAGATGTGACGCGCGACATTGGAGAGTAAACAGATTTGAG